CCTCGATCACCACCCTCGAGCTCCACGTTTGAGACAGCAAATTTGTGGTCCAAATTGTGCTCACCTGTTCTGCTCCTCAATGTTCTCAATAAAAAACTTAGGCCTGGGTTTGCAGTTTCTTTGCCTTTTGGCAGAGCAGTGGCTCAAAGCTGGAACACAATCTGGACCAGACCAACCCCGAACCCTAAACCCTTAACCCTAAAACCCCAAACCACAATCTGGACCACACATATTTGCGCAAAATTTGGACCACAATCTGGACCACAATTTTCATGCCTCGATCTTCGACCTCGAGCTCCACGTTTGAGACAGCAAATTTGTGCTCCAAATCGTGCTCACCTATTCTGCTCTCAATGCTCAATGCTCTCATAAAAAACTTAGGCCTGGGTTTGCGGTCTTTGTCTTGTAGTTTCTGTTCCTTTTGGCAGAGCAGTGGCTCAAAGCTGGCCTGGCCAATTTGAAGATTTGGTGGCTGGTGCCAACTCCAACCCATTGGAGAGCGCACATGGAGAAAAGAGAACGTTGGTTTTTGCAAAGTTGGGCGTGCAATTTTTTGTGGTCATGATTGTGGTCACTGTTAGTGTGCAATTTTTCTGTTCCAGCCCTGGGTTCAAGAACCTTCCAGCGGTGTGGCGGACCGGGCGGATCCTTGAACATGGAGTGTCTGGTTGTGGAGCCCCAAGTGGCTGACCTCGTTGAAGGTACTCGTACTTCGTTAGTCCTCCAGCTTGAATGGAGGAATCAGGACGGTTGGCTGCTTGGTGAGGCAGTTCACCATCGACAGAAGGTCTGGTTGAAGCATGATGTTATCCCCGTTGGAGCAATGAAGATTACAATTCTGGATGGATTGGTGACAAAGACTGGTCCGGTTCCATCTTTGCTGCTGGACGGCATGTCCTTTTGGTTTCAACACCAGGTGCCCACACCGGAATCCCTTTTGCAGGTGGTGGAGACCTGCTCAGGTTTGGGGGCACTTGGAATGGGGGCTGAGGATGCCGGCTTCAAGGTCACGGCCAGAAATGAAGTTCGTAGTGAAATTTGTGATTTTTTGGAACTGCAGGGTGGACCGCTCATTGTTCGAGGAGATATTGGTGATACAATCACGGTTGCCACCATCATGAAGCATGTTCCAATGGCAGGAGTGCTCACAGCAGGGGTGTCTTGCCAACCATTTTCACGAATGGGAGACCGAAGAGGAGGAGATGATGCTAGGGCGAACTGCCTACCCAAGGTCCTTCGAGCCGCATACTGGATGCAGACTCCAGTGATTGTGCTGGAATGTGTGGCAGAAGTGATGAAGTTTCCTGCATTTGAGGCGTGCATCCGGCCCTTTTGCAGTACCTCCGGAAATCACTATGAGCACGTTTTGTTGGAGTTGGGTGACGTTTGGGTGTCTCGTCGCCATCGATGGTGGGGAGTTTTGACCCAGAGAAATCTAGGTCCTTTCAAGTTGTTCGACTGGAAGGGAATTCAATCTTGACCCAAAGTTTCGATGATTTTGAATAACTTTGGAACAGTGTCGCCTGAGCATGAGAAGCAGCTTCGATTGACTTTGTATGAGCTTAGATCTATTCATGAGCTTGGCACATTGCAGAGGTTTGAGATTCGCATTGACCAACAAGCACCTACTGCTGTTCATGCATGGGGAAGCCATTTCTACGGGTGTAGATGTGGATGCCGAAAGACTGGACTGTCTTTGGAGAGGTTGCAGTGTGATGGCATCCATGTTCTCCTCATCCCGATTGAGGGTGCTACAAAACATATGGGAATGCAGCTGCCTCACATGAGATATCCTTCCGGAGCTGAGTGCGCCTTGTTGAATGGATTGACTCCCAATTTGATGTGGGGGCAAGATGCCAGGTTGGGATTGTGCTTGGTAGGCCAATTGGCTTCTCCATTGCAAAGTGCTTGGATTCTGACCCACGTTCGTCAACATCTCATGCACAGAGGGCTCCTTCCTCACAGCAAAGAGGGACCTTCTGATGTCCTGGCCATGCAGCGAACTCGGTTATTGGCAGAGGCAGAAAAAGGTGGTTTCTTCAAGTTCCCTGACAATGGGTCAACGGCTAGTCTGGCCCCGGTGGGAGAGACTCCGTATCCGGCCCATTCTTCCGAGTCGATGGGTGGTTGCTTTGTGTTCCATTCATTGCGGGGCATTGGATCCCATTGCTGGGGATGGCAGATGGTGATCATGTTCATTTTTCTGTTTGGGATACTGATTCGACTCATTTTGCCACGCTGGATTCCGTTTTCCCTCGGTTGGTCAAACTGGTGGGGGCTGACACGTTCACTGTCACCAAATACCTTCGTGGGGCGACCAATTTGCAGAGTTGTGGACCGGATGCGATTGCTCAACTGCATTTTGCTATGAGTCACTGTATGGCACCGACTCCCAGGTCGTTAGAACACATTTCCTCTACTAGGCATTGGGCCTTCGTGCAGCACATTCGGGATGAGGGCATTTGTCAAGATGCCGTTCTTCGAGGAGCTGGAACTCAGACTGGCCAGTTGACGACCAAGTTCAAGAGCTTCTTGTCTCTAGAGGAGTGTCTAAACCGGATGCCATTCAGAGAACTGCTACAGCCATGGAGAGGATTGGCCACTCAAAACTGCAACAAGCAATGAGATCTCCGTTTCCGTGGAGCCAATTGAAAGTGCTTGGGAACCAGTGCACCCCTCCTATGAGATGGATTTTGCAACATGAACTGGAGGAACAGATCCGGGTGAAAGCAGCTTCGGGACAAGAGGTGGGCAATCGTGCCAAGTCCAAGAAGACAAAGGCTTCTTTCCAGGCAGTCAAGACACTGCCTCCTGTTACAGTTAGGCCTGACCAGATCTTTGTTGCCGACCAGACATTCGTTGGAGTCAACCAGGATGGATCCACAGAGGCTCTCAAGACCATCTCCATCACTACGTTGG